TTTTTTGTTTTGCCTGCATTTTTAAAAAAATAAGTGTTTTCTCTGAGTATATGTGACCTACACTTCCTGGTTCATTGCATGTTTGAATATATATATTAAAAATATTATATGTTTTATATATATATATATATATATATATATATATATATAATACTTCACTGATACTTTAGATGGACATACTATTTTGTTTCTAAGTCATTTTCCTGCAAAACTTTGAGGACAATGCTCCATTGACTTTTGACCTCTAACGTTGCTTATAACACACCTCATGCAACCTTGATTTTCATTCATGTGTGAGTAAGCTAGATAATCTTGGGATTCTTTTCCCTAGATTCTTATAGTTTTAAAATCTCATGAGACACTTCATTTGTTCTCTTTTATTTTGTTCTAGGAATCTCTTATAATCTAAGAACAAGGAATTTCTTTGTTCCAGGAATCTCTTATAATCTAAGAACAAGTATATTCAGCATAGAGAAATTTTGTACTGTTCCTCTGATGATATTCTCATTTCCATTTGCTATTGAAAGTCTAATTAGATGATCCTACTTTCCATATCTCTCAACATTTTCTTCTCTTTTATTCTTATCTCTTTTACTCATTATTTTTATCTTATTCCATATTTTCTTGTACTAAGTTCCTCAACTTTATCTTTCTAATAAATAATAATGTTATAATAATAAATACAATGATTACCTATGTACCAGATTAATATAGAATACTCCCAACAACTTCAAGTGGTAGAAACTGATATAACTCCTTTTTAGAGATAAGGAAAGTGATGTGCAGAGGTCTAAAGTGACTGTCCAATGTGACATAGCTACTAAGTGACCAACTATGGATAAATGTAGAGATTGTGACTACAGATTTATATTTTTAAGAATTATTCTATCCTGGTTCACTATTTGCCAGCAAAGAAGTTGTGTAGGAGACATAGAGATTATTGTTTAAGTGGTAAAGCAGGACACTGCTCCTAGTTGCCTCAGTATTTTCTCAAAGAGTCTTGCTAAAGTCAGCAGTCTGTGACTATCACACAGATTGGGAAGACTGCCAGGTCAGAGAAGTCTAGAATTGTAGCTTCTTCCTTTTATTAAGATAAGGAGCAATCACAGTACTCAGAAGTTTACCTATTAGCATGTGAGAATGTGTTTTTATATCACTGGTATGGTTTGGCTGTGTCCCCACCCAAGTCTCATTTTGAATTGAAGCTCCCATAATCTCTGCATGTCATGGGAAGGACCTTGTGGGAGGTAATTGAATCATGGTGGCAGGTTTTTTCCCATGTTGTTCTTGTGATATTGAATAAGTCTCATAAGATCTGATGGTCTTATAAAGGGCAGTTCCCTGCACATGCTCTCTTGCCTGCTGTCATACAAGACATGCCTTTGCTCCTCCTTCATGTTCTACCATGATTTCGAGGCTTTCCTAGCATGTCGAACTGTGAGTCCATTAAACCTCTTTTACTTTATGAATTACCCAGTCTTGGGTATTAATTCGTAATAGCAGTATAAAAGTGAATTAATACAATCACTGTGGCATTCTTCCAAAGTTTTCCAAGTCACTAGGTTATAACAGTCTGGGCCATTGCTTACTACATGTTTGCTATAGGACTTCATTTTCTTTCTTTTTACCTTTTAATCCTAAAACTTTTTCTGGGAAGCATCCTTATTCTCTCTGGTAACTTTTTCCTATATGTGTTTTGAGTTTCCATCAATAACAACTCATCTGCTTTCTAGTTTCTGTACATTATCCACACTGTCCTGGACATTTCAAGCAGTCTTTATTATTGTTAAAGCTGTTATGAATTTATTAATCTTTGTATAATTGTATCATCATTTAGGTAGTAGTAATGGAGAATGGGGAGATGAATGTGCTTGGCTACGCATTTCCAACCATGTATAATAACTTAAATTCCTATAATTCCTGAAATACTGATTCAGATACACATCATTCTTTGAAGAAACCTTTGGACCCTGGAGTATGGAATAAGGAAAAATCTTTCCAGGAAACTTACTTGAAACAGTATTTATGAGAGAGAAATAAACAAATTTACAAACTCAGCACAAAACTAGTGCATATGCTCCTGGAATGCAAACTTCAGGAGAGTACATCTGCCTCTGCTGGATGTACTGTCCACTTGTTATGCTACACTCCACACAACAGAAACTCTATCATTCTACTTTGAGTGAAAGAAGAAATGCCTAGTTCTTGGCCTAAAACCCAATTGCATTTGGCAGCAGATGTATCATTAAATCTTCTTTTTTTTTAATTTGGCCATTTTACTTTATTAGTCTCTATTAGTCTAGACAGCACTTTTAGAACGATGATTCATCTCTTCCCTAAATAAGAAAAAAGAAGGGATCAAATCCAGTAAATAAAATATCTAACCCATCAACGAAAAAGAAAGAATTTATGTCACTACAACTGCCATTGACTTTGATGTATTCTTACTGGAAATTTTACCACAATCTTTGGCTCACTTTTAATCAATTAGATTTCTCCCTACCATGTCAAATGCTTTAATTTAGTTTTGGCATTTAATATACTGGAAAAGCCATTTATTTCTATTTCTATGTATGCCCCTGAATCTATAAACATTATCCCTTAAATTAGTTTTGAATCCAAATTGAAGAATTAGATCACTACATTTGAATTGTTCCTAGATATTTTGTTGGTAATCATAATCAAACTTCATGGAGGAAGCTCTTAGATGATCAGCAGGGATGGTGGCAGGTTGCAGAGATTCTTTTTCACTCACCTCAAGGATGCTGAGAAAATTGTTCACCAGCTGTCCTACTCAATGTTGACTGTGCATATTGGCCAAAGGGAGCTATCACCTAAATTAATAGCTGTTCTTTGCTAGGCTGGGAGGATGTTGTTGTTGCTGCTTTTTGCCAGAATGCAGATACTTTGACACTCAAAACTCTTTTGTCTGCCAGATTCCAAGTAGTGAGGGATATCATTTTTTATTTAGCTTTATTTTTTTTTTCTGTTGTGTGGATCACAAGTAATTTCACCAACTAGAAATGTGAATGAATTGTTGGCTCCATCAGTGATCTCTGTCAGTTCAGTGCCAGTGACATTTAGGCAGAAAGATCTTTTGTCCCCTGATCCTTCCATTTCTAGTGTTCAAAAGAGTAAGGCTTCAGTATGAATAAAAACAGTAAAACACATAAAGCAACTGGTGCAATAATCTTAATAACAAAAAATAACACTGTCACTTTACCCTTCATCTCTTTGCATTGCTTTTTAAAATATGAGTTTCTTATGGCTTCATTTCCTCAAATGTCACTCTTTAATCTTTTTTTATTTCTTATGTTAAAATAATATAATATCCAATATGGCAATTTTCATCACAGAATGCTTTTTTATTATATTTTGCTGCTTGTCTAAACTATTTCTTTAGTTCCCTTTGTCAGATTGAGAGTGAGGTATTTTCTCTGCAACAAAACAATGTATAGTTTAAGAACCTCACAGAATAAATTATTCTGACTATGGACTGATATTTAGATTGAAGCTTTCTTAATGCTCTGTGATAATGTTTGTTTTATATATGCATATTTCCTTTTCCTATTCTTATCTATTGCTACCCTGTGCTTAAAATTACATTTTATTTTACCTAAGCCTATATGATATTTTGTGCAGATGTTCACACCTATTCATTATTTTCTCCCTAAATATGAATTTTATATCTGTACAAAAGGAACCCTTAGGGATTGGAAATAATTATTTTTTTCACTAATGGATCTGCTGTACTTATTTGTATAAAATATTTGGATAACCACACTATTAGAACTAAAATTCCTGTTTGCCTTAATTTTAGTACTACAAATAGAATGTCTGCAAGAATACCATTGGAGACAATTTTATCTCAAAAAATAAATAATGAGGAAAATGACTACAGAAAACACAAATGTAATAATAATTTTAATAGCAGCAATAAACATATACACTGCAGCTTGAACAACAATGGGTATTGGCTTTTGTAGCAACAATTGATTGTTTTTTTTCTTCCAACTGGAAAATAAAAGACTAGAAGAAGTTCAGAAGACAATTTTTTCTTTTTTCATAATGAACCAATCCAAGAAACAAAAGCCATATTTTCCCATAGGATTACGAGTTTTTAAAGTGGTCATACTATGTGTAAATATCTTTTCCTCTGTCTCACCTCAGAGTCAGACCATTAGCAGGAATTCATAACTAGGACCTGTGTACATAGCATAAATCTGTTTGTTTATTGGTTGTTTAATTTGTGCCTTGTTCCAGAAAAGATTTTTTAAAAAACACTTAAAAAGATACACATAAGATACAATTATATAATATATATTAGGAACAAAATAGTAAAGAAAAAACATAAAATAGAGCCAGACATTAGGTTAAAAATTAATGACACAATCAACCACACAGTTCATGTTAGTAGGCTTATGGCAATTATTGAGGACCCTCAATAGGAGGTTCTGAAATAAAGGATCTATTTTATCTATTTGTGTATTTTTTTACATATTGAAGGTGTAATATCAAGAAAAAATGCTTTTCTGTAATTTGAAAATCTTGGATTCAAGTTTGAGTTTAACAACTGTTAAAAGAAAAACCTTAGATAAACTTAACAGAGTCTAATTGAGCAAAGAACGATTCATGAATCAGGCAGCACCAGAACCAGAATAGGTTTAGAGAGACTGACTGTGCTGTGTGGTCAAAGAAAATCTGTGAACAGAAAAAGAAAAGTGATGTACAGAAAACAGAAGCGAGCTACAGAGAACAACTGGATTGGTCATAGCTAGGTGTGTGTCTTATTTGAACATGGTTTGAACATTTGTCTGCCTTTGATTATCGGAAACTCAGTGATTAGTACAAGGGTAGATTACAGTCTGTTTACACATCCAGTTAGGTTACAGAGCACTATGTATGGAGCAACCTTTAGGCCAAACTTAAAATATGCAAGAAGGCAGCTTTTGGCTAAACTTAACACCACCCAAGGAAATAGAGGAAGTTATAAAGCAGTCAAGAAAGCATAGAGTTTTCTATGTCTCTTTTAAATAGCTTATATTTTGAAAATCTGAGATACGTATTTTAATTGAAAAGAATATTTTAAACACATCAATTCAAAGGATAAAATTATCTATAATTAAATTATGGGGGTGATGCACAAAAAGTAAAAAACCCCCAAAAAATAAGTAAAGAAAAGTTCAAGAATGACATACTTTGAAATGCTAACAGTTTTTACTTTGGGTGAAGTGTGTCTTCTACAATGAAGATGCATTCATTTGTAACAAGAAATAACTAATAAATTTTTTTTCATAAAACTTAATTTTCATAGCTTTGGCATCCAGATGATATAGAATATATAATAAAACTGAATACATATAGACCACATACACAAACTCAATAAAATGACATGCAGTATAGCATAAACAAATATGAAATTTGTACATATGTCATATTTTATCTTCAGGTCAACTTTTCATTATTGTAAGATTTATTATCCCAATTTTATAGTTGAATTCATCCAACTGCCTGTTCAGCTTTTCAACTTGGATACCTAGTTAGAAATCTCAATCTCAAAGTACATTAAAAAGTGAACCTTTGATATTTGGCCTTCTCCCCAAATGGTTTAACCCACAGTCTTCCCCATCTCAATTGCTTTGACTCCATTGTGTCATTTAGCCAAAAATATCAGTTATTCTTGACTCTCTTCCTTATTTCCATTCCACATTTAATCTACAAGGGAATCTCATTTTCTCTATCTTGAAAATACAGTCATATTTTGCCCACTTCCTGTTACTTATATCACTATCACTTTAACCTCAGCCATCATCATCTCTTGCCAGATTCACATAATATATTTCCCAAAAGGTACCCCTGCTTCTAACCTTGCCTGCCTATAATGCAATCTAAACAGAGCAGTCAGAGTGATTGTTTTAAAATGCAAATCACATCATGTCACTCCTCTACTCAGGATATGTGAGAAACCTGCAGTTTCTCCTGTTTTATTGAATGGAAAACAGAATCCTACAATAAACTAGAAGCCTTCCAAGTTCTTCTCTCTGTCCTCATTGTTTCTCTGACCTCATTTTCTCTTTCTGGCCTGCTCATTTTATTCCAGACACATCTGACTCTTTGCTTTTTCAGGGCCTTTGCATAGGATGAGATTTCCTTTGCTGAGGTTGTGTGTTCCCCAGGTAGATAGATGGCAAACTCCTTTATCTCCTTTAGGACTTTTCTAAAATATTGTCTTTGTAATGAGGCCTAACCTAACAACCAAAGTTAGAATTGCAACCTGTCCTGATTCCCTCATCCCCTTTATTCTATTTTTTAAAATCACACTTAGCAACTTACAGTATGTTATATAATTTACTTATTATTTACTTAGTATATTTTGAAATGTCTAGGTGTCTGTTTCCTCCTCCTAGATTGTAAGGCTTTTCTTTGTTCATTGTTGCATTTCAAGCATGGAGTTGGCACTTACTAAATTTTTCTGAATTTTCTTATGCAAATTTTGGTTTTAGAAAGTTTAAATGTCTTGCCCCAATTCAAAAGAGACAGATTTAAATAGCTCTTAATTCAGGTCCTTTCAATCTTTTAACTGTTCTATAGGGCTATAATTAATACCTTAAGAAAGGTACAAATAATGAAGAAGAATTATGCTCAGTAGGATAAAGTCAAGAAATGTTACCTGAGGGAGTTACTGACCTTGGAGGATGGAATGAATTCCAAGTTAAAGCAAGGGAAAGGGCATTCTAACAAGAAGGAAAAGAATAAGCGGAAGCATACATGGAACTGTTCAGGAGATGTGGCTGAGAAGCAGCTCATGGGCTGGATAGATCAGAGTATTGGGGGCATAAAAGACTAATGGGAAATGAGGCACAATTGGTTGGCTACTGCTTGCTGTGGGGAGCCTTGGACACTAGGGTGACAACTTAGTATTTCATTTAGTAGTCACTGTAAAGCCATTTGACATTTTCAAGCAAGGAGGTGACACAATTGAAGATAAGCTTTGGAAAGATCAATATGTCACTTGAGAGTAGAATACATTGGAGTTTGAAAAGGATAGGTAGGGGTCAGTTAGAAAGCTATTATGGTTGTCCAAGTGAGGAGTAATGAGGGCTTCTGTGAGGACTGTGTAAGTGGGAGTGGAAAGAAGGGAAGAGGTACAACCTTGTGAAGGCACAATGAATAGAAGGAAGTGGAAGGAATATAAATTGGCAACTAGTATTAGGAGTGTGAGAAGAGAGGCTAAACATGATGACAAAGGTTTTAAACTAGAGTGAGTGAGCAAATAGAAAATTACAAGGAGCTAGTTTAGGAGGATCTGTTATGTCCTCTTTCTAGATGCTGCACTAAAACTACTGAGAGATCAGGTTTGCAAAAAAACAAAAAACAAAAAGCCCTCCATTTGACCTGGAGGGCAGCAGTCCTCCTCCCAGCATTCTTCTGTGTCCCCATTCACTTATATAAGTGTTCCATCCACTTATATACTGTGAATAGAAAAGTGTCTTTTATGTGATTGTTTTCAAGCTCTGGTATAGTTCACTGGGTGCATAAGATGCAAATTTTATCCTCTAACACATAGGAAAATGTTTCTAGGGAATTTGAGTTCCTCTGGGGTGTGTGTGTGTGTGTGTGTGTGTGTGTGTGTGTGTGTTTCTTAATGCATTGTAGTTGAATGTATCAACCCCAATCTCTGTCCCTAACAGCACTTGTTCTTATGGCGTATTAACTTAGCTGTAGTAGCCTTCTCCTTGATGCCTCTTTTTATTACCTTGTTCCACCTCAGCTAGGTCAGGACAGGACTACAAAAATACCTTAATTGCTACGGTGATGGGAACTGAATTAATCTATAGCAGATGAATGAGGATAATAAAATCATTTTCTTTTCTCTCAATGGTCTGTGCAGCATCATCTCTTCTGATACACTTCAGTGTCTGACCTTTTAAACTGACAGGATGTTCACTGCTGAGGCTTTTTAAAGACATCTATCTCTCCACAGAAAAATGGAAGCCAGACATCCAAGACCGACTTATATTTGTCTGTGAATCAAGCTGTCATTTTTGTTCTGCCAGAGTCTGTTATCACGTCTGGACAAGTAATTATTCTCTAGGTTAGGTTCTTACAACCTTGAATTTTTAGGAAAGTCCTTGAGACTGAAAGCAGTCACTCTCTTACTGCTACACAGTTCATGTATATTGGTGAGTTATGTGGTGGCTTGGCAGCTATTACTGCTATTAAGCATTTAGTCTATTAAGTACACAATTCTTTTAACTTTGCAAGAGCTTCTAGCTTCCATCTGTTTCCTTTATTTATTAAAATCCCTATTTAGTTCTCCTACGGCATTTAGGCAACTGGTAGTACATTCCCTAAAGAGTAAGTGTAAGCTGGGACATTGAAGGACATAATGGAGCAAGAACAATTCACAAGCTTCTTTAAATTCCTCATATAACCCAGATAGAATCATGAAGTGGCAAAAAAGAGGGTTTGCAACTTTCCTCTTTCTCTACTGGAAATAAAGGAACCTTGCTACATATTGCTAAATGAAACATGGGCGCAGCAACATCAGGTGGAGTTGGCGACAAAGAACAGGAGGGCCCAGATTCATTTGCAGATGTTGGAAACACACTTCAGTACTATGAACATGAAATTTAATTCAGAGTGATACAGCTCATCTAAGTTGCTAAGCATTTCCATATCAAGTGAGAATTCAAGAGTTTCCAATGAAAACCTTAGGTCAGATTTCAGGGGAAAAAGTCCTCAGTGAGAGATTTAATAATGTATAAAGAGGCCTGCACCTCCTACAGAATTCTGTTTGAAATAGTGAATATCTAGAATAAAATTCTCATTACCTACTTCTTGGAAGAGAAACCATTTGCAGGCAGTTAGACAGTCGCTCAGTCACAGATATTTTGTAGTGTGAACCTAAGTTTGGTTGTTTGATAAAATTTTGACTATATTTTGAAAAAACTTTCCTCCTTTATCATGCTCATTTTTCCTTAGAAAGTCACATTCACAGGCAGAAGCTCACTCTACCCCTTCCTGCTCTCTAGCCCCAATGACCCTGCTCCTGAGGATGTCATGATCAGTAGGAACTGGTACATTATCCAGAAATTGAATCTTTAAAATGTCATCAATAATATAAGGTCATGGCTCAACACCCAAAATAAAGATTGGAAGGGACAGGAGGATTGAGAGTGACAGCAGGGGGCTCAGACCACACTGGAGATGGATAGGAATGAAGAGGAATACACGCTTTCTATTTCTGAAGAATGACAGCACAGACAAAGGGGCTGCATAGATCCTAGTGCACATCTTCATCTCCAAGTGATAGGTTACCTTGACTGCTCACCTTCTCTTCATATTTCAGGATGAATTACAGTCATTTCCTCTCCTGTCATTTATGCATGAAAGACCCAAAGAATCTGTATTATTAGGTAAAACACTATTAACACAAAATATACTTATAACACGATCACTAGTTTTTCCTATATGGATGTCAGAAAGGCACTAAATTTAAGGAAATCAGACTGCTTCTAAGAATTGCACTTTCTTTTGTAAAATCTGCTTCCCTCTTTAGCCTTGGAAATAGCTATTTTGTGTTGAGAGAGCCTCATTTGAATACTTTATAATAAAACAAAGAATATAGGACACTCCATTTATTAAAAAGATTCACATGGAACATGACTACTATTATGAGTATCTTTATAAATGCACCTATTTGACAGCAGTTATTCAGTGATAGCAGTATGACACAGGTACATCCTTTTCAGCACTTCCTGGTCCCCAAGGTTGCATCACTTGTGTGGCATTTGTTGCAAGGATAACTTGTGTCCCTCATTTCTACTTTTCCTTATGCCTCTTTCACTTAGGACTAGAGAAAGAACAGCTGCCCCTTCACTGGCTTTTTTCTTAGTCTTTGGACATATAGAACAGTGATTTTGAATGCTTTACCATTTGTTTGCAGATCAATTGTTGAGTTTCCAATATTAAAGGGCTCTCATTATTTCTCAAAGTAATTTTTGTCTACCAATATGTGGAGCCAAAACAAGCAGGAAATTCTACGAACAATTTTGTTTTCTGTACCATGTAATCTAAACAATTTGAGGAAAGAAACAATTTTTAGTTGTCTTTTAGGCTTAAATTGTGTGAGATTAAAAGAATTCTTCTTAATTTTCCCATTCTATAAGCTTGTGGTTAAATTTTTTCTAAATATTGTACTCTGAAGGCCTTAATTATTCAGAAAGAAAATTCAATTTCTTTAGGAAATTATCTTCCTCTTTCTTAGGAATCTGAACTTTGCCAAACAGAAAGAATAAATAGGAAATGAGGTGTCTTTTTGAAACAATTGGAAAAGCCAGAATGCCATCTTTCAACTTGCAGTGTGCATTACCAAATGGAAACTGTTTTCTACAAAACATAAAAGGTTATTTTCCATGTGTTACTTGGCTTAGTGCTTGAAAAAAAAAAACATTTTGTATTTAGAAAAAAAAATTATTAAATGAACTCCACAGCATGTCTCATCTAATGCTCAGAAAAGTGCTCTATTTTTGAATAAGGGCTGGGGAGTGCAGCAGTTATACATGAGATGGGTATAAACAAATATGCACCTTGAAATAACATATACTGGTTGGCATTACAGAAATAATGAAACTGTAAAATAAGCTTCAGGATAGAGTTCTCTAATAGGCAACTTCAAAAAAAAAATATTTTTTGCAGTTGAAAGCTGTTTTCAGAAAACTGGAGGCACAGAGTAAATGTTATCCCAAGGTCATTACGTCTGAGTTCTGCTCTCAATTTGGGTGCTGTATTCTTTCTTTTTGAACTTTTTCCCTGAAATATGGGGATGTCTAGGATTCAGTTGTTTTAGGACATTGGCAAACCGGTTACATCTACTGTGTTTCATGCAGTGTGTTTGTGGTGAGATTTGAGCCCAGTGTCCTCAAAAGGTGTTTCACTTGAGCTGTCTGGATTCAAAGAAGTTCTTTTAATATACATCACTGACTTTTAGTTAAAGCTGTCTATTATTCTGGCTGCTACCTAAGACTATTGTGTAACCATTGCCCTTGGTTTGTGGAAGGACATGTCTGTCTTTGCTCTTGATCATACCATCTGCCCACAGAAGGAAAATTTCCAGGCCAGTAATTATGTTTTGCAACATCCACATTTTTACCATCCCCACTACATAGCAGGCAAAAAATCTACTGTTAGTTCACAAAGATAACTGTTTACAATTCCGTCTTTTCTGTTGGGGATTGAGCCCTTGGCAGGTGGTGGCTCTTTGGAGAGGCTGACATTTGGGATTTCCCTTGCCAAGGTAGAGGCAGGGTCAAAAGGCCTAGGGAAGTTCTTGACTGAACAGCAGTGACATCCTAGCAGTGTGGACATTGCACTAATGCCACACAAGCAATCATTACAGAAATTCCCTTCTTATCTTTTACAACATCACCACTATGCTGAAGTGCTGACTCCTGAAAGCTAAAGACATTTTCTGGACAGTGCTACCCTGAATACAAAATACTTCAGAATGCCACCCCCTGCAACTTAAAACCCAGCTCCAAACAAATAGCTCTACTCCAATCAAGTCAGAGGAAGTTAGTCAATATCTCTCTCTCCATGACACTGGGGATTTTCTGGTAAGTCATAATTCAACCGTTTGTTAGAGGGGAGAAAAAAATGTAAATTAAAAATCTCAGCCAAGCCATTCCCAGCAGCAATAACCAAACTCTCTGCTGGCTAAACAAGAGGCCACCAGACTGCTATCAGAACCTCTCTGTTTGCTATCAGTTTAGACCACAATTAATTTAAAATTTCTGCTTCCAAAGTAACGTAAGGGAATACAATAATCCCAATTTACTTTTTTAATAAGAAGCTTACGTGGAAAGAGCCCACAGGAATGCTCAGCCCGGGCCAAGGTAATTCTCATCATGAGGAGAGGTGCCCATTTAAAATGCACAGTCACAGGGCAGCCAGCGTCTCTTCCCAGAATGCTTCCTCTGGGCTTAAGTAGATTCTTTTATCTATTTTTCTCTTTTTGTTTTTTAAAAAAGTAAAATTGGACTTGCAAACACTAGCAATAATTTCCTTAGAAAAGCAGGTCTAAAAAATCAGGAGTCCGTGTTTAAAGAATACTCTCCAAAAGCTATAGGGAGCAGAGGAATTAAGGAGCAGATCATAAAATAAAACACGGAAAACATATAAAGCATCCAAATAGGAGACAGAATCTCCCTCCATGAACAGTTGGACATATCAGCCATAGTAGAGCAGAGCTGGGCAACTGGATGTATACAGGGAAATGGGGGCAGGCATCTGAAGTGAATGCTCCAACAGTCCTTGCTCAAGAAGGTGGGTCAGCAAGAACCCACCATGGGTCACAGGTGGCATCTGAGAATGTACAGATTTTGCCTGGTACTCTCTACTACCTGGGCTAACCAATGAGAGCAAAACAGGGTCTTTCTGTGCATGCCAGAACTAGTGTAGCAGGAAAATTATTCAGGTTCGTTCTTAGGCATATCGAACAAGAAATAGAGCTAATGAAACTTGGTGCAAGATGGAGGCATTGTCACAAAAACAAGTTTCCGGTGAAATCCTAATGCCTATATTTAATGGGCAGCATTTTTATTTGACCCTTCTGTGGATGATGACAATCACATCCCTTGTTTCTATGACAACAGAGTTTTCGGTTTCTCTTCCCATCCTTTGCCTATACTCTGTCTCCTTCAGTCTGTACTCCTATATAGCCATGTTTAAGTGTTTCCAAGAGGTCCCTCAGTGGCTGTCATTCTGTCACGCATGCTCCACTCCCCTATAGGTTTATCAGCAATAAATAAATGACTGTCTAATAAATTCCCACCCTTTTGAAAGCATTGTACTTACATAACCAAAAATTTGCCAGAAATCTTCACCTGCATTTCCTAAAGGCATTTGAAATTAATCATCATATTTAAAAGTAAATTTATACTCTTCAGTCTTTCTGGGCAAACTTGCCTTTCTCCTTCGTTTCTCTGCACAGTTTTCACATTGTCATCTGCTGTGGAAAGAATCAAGTCTCCCCTAAATGTGTATGTTGAGGACCTAAATGCTCAATCTGATGGCATTTGAAGATGGAACCTTTGAGATATTATTGGGTTCCATGAGATAATAAGGATTAGGTTTTTATGATGGGATTAGTGATATATGAAATATATCACTTATAAAAAAGATATGAAAGACCTGCTGTCTCTTTCTCCCTACATGGGCTGAAAGAGGAGATCATGTGATTGTACAAAATGGCAGCTGTCTACAAACCAAGAGAATTGGCCTTAGAAAAACCTTGGCCTTAAACTCTTGGCCTCAAATACTGAGAAATAAATTACTGTTGTTTCAACCACTCAATATGATATTTTTATATGGCAGACCATGCTGACTAACACCATCCTCAGTCCCCTGTGATAGAGACCAAACATTAATTTCAGTTTCTTTTCCCTTCCATATTCAACCAACTTCTATATTATTGACTGTACCTCTCTGATTTGCAAATTTGCCCTCTTTCCTCCAACTTCATTGCTTCTTCTTTAATTCAAGTCATATTATAGATATATGTTATATATGTTAAGAACTAGTAAAATACAGAACATCACAATGATATTAAATTAACAATTAATATTAGAAATTAAACATTTTTAAGTTTGGAAATTGAAAGCACTCTTCAAAAAGCAATGAATTAACAAAGTAATCACAGCAAATATATATGTTTTAAAGTTAAAAATGAAGGAATTACGATTTAAAAGTTGTGGGAGCCATCTATTAAAATTTATTTAAAATAATTACAGTATTTTAATATAGTCAGCAAAATAGGAATATGATGCTTGGGGATGTACAATTAATCTGGTATAAGATGATATGGTAGAAGATAAAATTAGAAAATAAGACAATTTTCTGTCTGGTGATCATACAACGAAGCATTTGTTGTCATCGTTTTAAAGAACACAGAATTATTCAGACTTTGCCCTAAAGCTATTGGTAAGACATTGAAGTGCATGGCATGGTCAAATTTGCATTTTGGAAAAATCAATCTGTTGCCATTGTGGAAGACTGAGAAGTATGTACCTGAGTTGGGGGCAGTGTAAAGGAGGAGGGCAGTCAGAAGGCAGAGATAATTTATGGGGCTATCAAAATAGTCCAGATAAAATTTAATGTGCCCTGAATTTGGCCATGCATGGTGGCTCAAGCCTATAATCCAAGCACTTTGGGAGGCCGAGACAGGTGGATTCTGTGAGGTCAGGAGTTTGAGACCAGCCTGGGTAATGTAACAAAACCCCACTCTACTAAAAATACAAAAATTAGCCAGGTATGGTGGCAGGTACCTGTGATCCCAGCTACATGGGTGGCTGAGGTACAAGAATTGTTTGAACCTAGGAGGCAGAGGTAGAGGTTGCAGCGAACTGACATTATGCTACTGCAATCCAGGCTGGGTGACAGAATGAGACTCCATTTGAAAAAAAAAAAAAAAAAAAATATATGTATATATATGTGTGTGTGCATATATATATATGCACACACATATATATTTGTATTTATATAATAGCATTTGTGCATATATATTATGTATATATTTAATATTGCATATATTAAACATATATGGTGTATATATTACATATATAAATATATATTATATAAAACATATATATTATATACATTAATAGCAAAAATAAATTGTACAACAAACCCCTGTGACATGAGTTTACCTACATAACAAATTAGCATATGTTTCTCTAATCCTGTGGTTTTTTTTTTTTGTTTGTTTGTTTTTTTGAGACGAAGTTTCGCTCTTGTTACCCAGGCTGGAGTGCAATGGCGCGATCTCGGCTCACTGCAACCTCCGCCTCCTGGGTTCAGGCAATTCTCCTGCCTCAGCCTCATGAGTAGCTGGGATTACAGGCATGTGCCACCATGCCCAGCTAATTTTTTGTAGTTTTAGTAGAGACGGGGTTTCACCATGTTGACCAGGATGGTCTCGATCTCTTGACCTCGTGATCCACCCGCCTCTGCCTCCCAAAGTGCTGGGATTACAGGCTTGAGCCACCACGCCCGGCCTAATCCTGTGTTTTTTTTAAAGGAGCAGAGAGGTTAATAAGCAAGAAGGGGCAAGAAGGAAGGGAGAAGAAAGAAGCTCCCCTGTACAGAGATGGAGGTGGACTCCAAAGCTGAGAGAGGGAACCCCACCTGCCATAGATACCAGCTAGGTATATATACAGAGGCTGGATGAGGCAGTGTCTGATTTGGATAGGGCTCAGAGGATTGGTTTGACTAGGCATGTCATTCCCATAGCCTGCAAAAAAGCTGGCCCTACCACCCTAGCCTTTTAACATGCAAATGCAGGGCACCATGATGTTCTATACTCGTGGGGATATGTGAGGGCTGCCATGTTGCTAGGAACATTTTGGGCAAGAGCAAGAAGACTGAGGGAATCACCATGTTGGACCCAGTTTCTAATGGCTTCCAATTGCATATCAAATGTTGCCGGCCTGGCTTTAAGAGGAAGGACTTTACAAGAAACTTTTCTGCAGATGCTTTAATAAACAAAAACTTCCTAAGGACCCCATTTTCTATCCATCTGTCTAAAATAATTTCTTAATAACTCCTACCACATTCCTCCCTATGGAGATGCCACACTAACTGCTGTTGGGGGTTTTGGGTGATGACTCTTTCTGGCTACTTCCTGCTGAAAAGGGGCATCCAATGGGGAACAGCAGCTAGGGCTACTCCTGGGGTCGATCTGAGAATCCTCAGAAGAATGGAGGGTCTATGTGTGGTTCAGTTTATAGGACCGTTTGGAGTTTGATTGCTTCTAGGTGAGAAGAAACAATTCTAGTTATAGTATTGTGTATACAAAGTCCAAATATCAGTACAAGACATATGAGCAAGAGAGAGCTTGATAATGGGGTTAGCCAATTCCATAAGGGAGACTGGAATTTATTAAAGACAGATTGTAGTCACTCAGAGCTGAAGCCAGCATTTTCCCTGAGCCTGTCAATAATTTTGATTTGATTTTTAAGTACCTGTAGATTTTCCATTACTTTACTAGAGATGTTAATCCAAAAGCTGCATGTTTCATTTAAAACTCCATCACTAAACCCAATAAAAAGTCCTAGCAGACTCAGTGATAGTAAAACTTTCATGCTTCCTTTCCGTTAGTAACTATTATCCCTGCTATAAGTATAATAATTAAGCAAAATACAACAGTGATGGAAACTCTCTATTTAGTATTTCAGTTAGAAGGTGCTACTGTGTGTAACCCTATTAAATAATAGAGTATAGCAATTTCCATAAGTGTAGTGTGGTAGATAATTTCCATCTGAAATTTTACTTGTCAAAATATAGAATTCCTCTTTGGGTGTCTATGAAATTCCTTGGTTTTATTTTCCTAAACAAAGAAACCTCCAGGTATGAGCACCCTACTCACTTTTATTACCCCGCAGAATTTGCAGGATAATTGCACAGAACTAGCATATTGATCCAGATTTTTATATTACCCATACCTTATTTTTTCTTCCAAGCTGCAGAAGATCACTACTTGATTCATAGGAACAAGCAGGGTCTAAAATGTAGACGAAAGCTTGGAAACAATTAATGAGATTAGGACTTAACAACAAATGCATGATAAGCTTTGGAGTACAATTTTCTCTCTAGTCCTCATTTTTGGTAAAAACAAATCATGATTGATTATGGATTGATTATTTGCATAAAATGCAGCAAGAATGATTATTTCTACATAGGCCTTTGGATTGGCTTTGATGAAACTCTGTTTCACAAGAAATTTCAGGTAAGATTATTGAAGCCAAGCCCAGCCATGAGTTTGTATCCTCAAATACCTGTGAGTTGGGTGATCCACTCCTCTTAAGCTCCCAAGATAAGCTTGGAGCTCTGAGACCTGTTTGAAAGTAACATTCTTTACTGAGCACAGGTTGGGAAACCCTGTGCAGGGACTTTATAGACAGAGATGAGGCCAGTTCTCCTCAAGGGGATTTTATTAGCTCTGCATGTCAAGCTTGACTCCTTAAATAGAAACACACTCTTTCAGTTAAAGCCTTGGTAAACTACAGGTATTGATCGACTTACCACCTATGCAACTTACGACCATTTGACTTTACGACCACAATCACTAGCCACGACTGCTCTGCGTCTGGCAGCGCAAACGTTGCCCAGCTGGGCGTACGACAGTGCGGACCAGCTTCCGGCAGCACTACCATCTCCGCGTGCACCATTTCAACTGTACATATAGCCTACTCAACTTACGACCAAATCGTGTTACAACCGGTCCGCAGTCCCGACGGTGGTCTTAAGTAGAACACTAGCTGTAACCAGTTTTTCCAATTGTGTCCCATTGACAAAGAAACATGGATTCTTATTGCATTGATGCAAACCACTATATTGCCATAAGTTAAGAGTACTCATAGATAGTTTCCAAATTCTAGAGGAACCAGGCAGAGAAATAAACATTTTCCAAACTTTGTTCACAGGAGTATACCTTACTCAATTATTAAAGGCCATAGTTTAAAATAAGTTTCCTTGACTCTGAAAAACAAAACAAGGATCTGAAGTATTCCAACCAGAAGTTAAAGGCTTGCTTTAACTTTCTGAGTGCAGTCCTTTTAGTTAGCTCTTGTTTTGTTTGATATTTGTGAACATGTCAGTTCTTTAGGAGTTTCATACGTTCTTTCTCTATTCCAATGTTACAATCTTCAAAGCTGTTAAAAACCTGCATTTGAGAACACCTGTTAAAGTCCTTAATATGGCTTGATTATAAATCATCTTTTGAGAAGGACAATGCAAGACAACAGTTGTTTGCCAGTGGCAACATTTCCAGGACAGTTACAGTTAAAAACATGACTGACAAAGAAGTTTGTTTATATCTGTGGTTTACAATAACTTTACCTTTAATTATGATTGATAGCATTTTAGAAATCCCATACAATTTTTGAACATATATTAGTATTCATCAAAATATAACTTAAAGAAGATTGAGCATCATTTTCGCAATCTCATGTAATTAAACATGTCAAATACTCCTGTTTACCTCTTTTTTGAATGCTTCAGGGGCCCTCTGAACCATCCAAAAAGCCAGGCATTAAGAAGGACAATTCCCAGATTGTCATAAACTATTTTGCCAAAATGATGACTTAAAAGGTGAAAAACTTTCATTAGCTTTTACTATGACATGAAAATCCTGTTTAAAGCCAAATTTTACCCTTGTATTTGTTTGTTAATGTTAACCCTAATTTATTTAAATGCAACTTTATAGATCATTCCATCTAATCCTAACCATCTTGACTGTGAGGTGAAATTTCTGCAAACCTTTTATAACCCTTTTACTAAAAGGCAGATTAGCATTTTAAGATCTCCTTGTTATGCTTTTATTTCATGCATTTCATTGCAGGGCAACCCAAAGCCAATTTGCTTCTTTTGTAATTAGATCATCTTCTAATTACAAATTAGGACAGAGTCTAATCTAATGGGAGTCTCATCTCCCAAATGCGGGGTGGGGATGGTTCCTTATTTTTCAGGTGGCCAAGAGCATGGTTCTCTTGTTTATAACTACTATTAGGCATTTCTTACAGTGTATTTTTTCCTAGTTACTACACACCAAACCTATGTAATTTCTCATACCCCCAAAATTCAAAACCGTCAGATAACACAATGCAAAACACACCAGAGCCTTTGATTTTGAGAGGGAACTATCTGCTTTTAATTCCTGGGGTTTCATGAGGAAAACAGATTTTTTCCTCAAAATGGGGTCTGTGGCAGCTCCTCTGTTTTTCCCCAGGAGTCCCATGCCACCAGAAGTTATGTAGGGCCTTTTATGCATGCATTAAGGCTGGTAAGACAATAAAATGGAGAAAAAATATTCAGCCAACTGAGAAGAAAAGAGCCCTTTTCCAGAAAACAAGATCCAAGAAGAGAAAAACATAAAGGCCTTTTTAATATACCTAAAACTTGAATATTCACTTTTAATTAAGCTGAGCGCTCTTCAAGAAAATCTTGTTAAATCCCTTGTTACTTGACTTTAGCCATGCCAAGCAGTTAAGATTTTTAGCTTTCGAACATTACAAAAAGTAACCTCACAGGTGAAACCAATGAGCCTTAATTAGGTTATGACTTAACCACAGTGTACAAGGTATTTTCAAAGGAGTGATAGATAGCTTTTGAAACTGCATTGCAAAATTGTGCCTGAGACAGTGAAAGAGATCCAACCCAAACAACTTCATTTTGTTTATAGCTCCCAAGCTGTCCTTGCCCATCACTGGGCATAGGCTGAACCAACTTTGGGAGGATCCTGGATTACAGTCTACAGTTTAAAACAAAGACAGTGACAGCTGCTTTCCCAAGATATACTTCCCTCTTGCCTAGGAACCAGACCAAAAAACTAGCCACGGGATTAGAAACCTTGGCCCAGGAGCCATGCAGGTGGAGGCTACAAGATTTTGACCCTCCCTAAACTGTTCTTAAGATCAGTGCTTAAGATATTTTGCTGCCTGGGAACAATGGCTCATGTCTGCAACCCCAGCACTTTAGGAGACCAAGGTAGGCGGATTACTTGAGGTCAGAAGTTTGAGACCAGCCTGCCAATATGATGAAATCTCATCTCTACCAAAAATATAAAAGAGTAGCTGGTTGTGGTGGCACACACCTGTAATCCCAACTACATGGGAGGCTGAGGCAGGAAAATTGCTTGAACCCAAAAGGCATAGGTTGCAGTGAGCTGAGATCTTGCAACTGCACTCCAGCCTGGGTGACAGAGCAAGACTCCATCTCAAAAAAAAAAAAAAAAAAAAAAGATATTTGTAAACTCTGTGCATGATGGATCAGCTGGAACCACCCAGACTGACAAACTAGTTTATTTGATTTTGTGGCCTTCACTCACAAATGTCAGAGACTAAATACTGACGTGGTTCCAGATTATGTTCCCAAGGACATGAAACAAGATGGGGGCCTATAGCAAAGTTTGCTACTGATTGTTTTGTTGGGCTGGCTGAATAGTGGGCTTTTGGGGTCCTAGGCTGCATCCAAACCTAAGATACCCTTTCTTTGACAGAACCATAAAGAAAGACATGCAAAGCACACCAGACTGTCTACAGCTTAAGACCAATTTCACAAATCCTTTTTCATTAATTATAAATTTACAGAGAATATAAACAATTATCCTTATTATCCCTTTTGTCAGTTTGTACAGGGAGAGAGAAGCCAAAAGCCCTAATGGTAAGAAATTTTTACCTTTTTGCTGGCATATTAGGCCTCTGGGCTCCCCTTCCCCTAGCTCAACTTTAAGCCAAACATTTTAAGCTTTGGAAAATTAACTTTTCTCAGGTTGGAAGAACATCATAAAAGAGATATAAGTCATTTTAAACCACGAAAAAAGAAAAAACACCATAGAAAGAAATTCTGATTAGGGTTGTCAACAGGTATTGCCTTTTTTCCTAGTGGGAATGGTGTTTCCCCTATTTCATTGCCTTCCCTATTTTTTCTTTTCCCTTTTGGCCTATGATAGGAGACATATTGCTTATCTCCAAAATTTTCTTCTGCTTGCAGAGCTGCCTGTTTTAGCTGCAGTGAGGGTTTGACTTAGCAGCAACATAACACAACTCTGTGTAAGGTAAAATACCTGAGTTAAATGTTGGAAAGCTTCTGTATACCTATGAAGGTCATCAGAAAATTGGCCTGTCTCCCTTTACTTGCCTAAGGTCCTGCAATAAGGAGAGAACTCGAAGGGGGACCCTCAGATGACTTCCCTGAGAGTGACTTTTTTAATTTTGGGGAATTGTTTTCCCTGGGCCTGCCTGATATGGTTGCTAAAAGAGCTGGGTTGACGTTACAACACTTGCAGAGGTTTAATAGGAATGCCATGCTCTTGTGCCAAAGAAACTAAGTTGCGTTCTTTAAAGTACTGAGGTTAAGGAAGTTTCAGTGTTTCAGAGCACATTCCAGAGGGGTGCAAGCTAAAGATAATTTATTACCCCATTCAGAAAAAGGAGCAAGAATAAAAGCATCCTCTTAGTCTCCTTCCTTTCCATATGACCCAGAGTGGAGACAACAGGGAGCATCCTCCAAATGTCTTACCTTTCTGGTTACTAGATCTTGGCACTTTCTCATATGTGTGCGTGCACATGTGTGCACGCGCGCACACACATGGTTGTAGACACGGTTCTCCAAGCTATGGAACCAGATGTACTAAGTGATGGGGCTAACCACGCATACCTACGCGGCCTTAGCTTATCTGCCTTGTGTACTTTCCCTTTGACTTTCTAGAACCCATGTGATTAGCCTGGCTCAGAGAAAGCCAGATCTCCAGCGAGACTGTATCGCCTTTGGGCAAGGTTCCTTTAACAGAGGCAATGTGCTAGATTGCCTACTATTATGACCAGTGCTAAAGCACTTACCCTTAAAAGAAAACAGTTCTGGTTAACTTTCAAATTTAAAATTCCCCTACTAATTAAGTACTATCTTAATTGAAGACAGAATAGATGCTTTAAAAGAACGTAGAAATCACATGGCCATTTTCCCACTGATGGGACAATATCGGGACTAAAATCCGCTGCCGAAGATATTTTTCACCCAACTGTTAAAGGCAGAAACTTCTTCTCAGCAAAAGCCTAGAGCCTGATTTCTACTGTGCCTTAGAAATACCATGTGCTTGCCAGAGAAACCTTAGCAAGAGAAAGAGTTATTCAGTTACTACCTGCCACGATTCACAATCATTTCTAACAGACCTGTTTCCCTGAACTATAAAGATTCCTGCAAAGTAGACACGCAGAGAGGGTCAGAGACCACTGATAAAAAGAGAAAGTCTGGCAACAGGATAGCTGGAAGAGAGCCTTGAAATTAAAGGACAGATTTAAAGTTCAAATCCGTTCCATACTCACCAGTCTGATGAATGAATTTCCTTTCCTGGCCAACACACCAAAATGATACAGCTCCAATGAGAGGAGGAACACTAGGGTTCCTGGTCTTCATGCCTGTTTAGATAAAATGACATGGACACATGTGGAGTGGTTTTAAGGAATGGATTGTTTAAAGCAAGAATGGGCAAGAAGGAAAGGAGAAGGAAGAAGCTCCCCTATACAGAGACAGAGGGGTGCTCCAAAGCTGAGAGAGGGAGCCCTCCCAATTTTTTTATATATACATATATAAACAAAATATATACATATCCACAAATATATATTACTTCTATTAATACCTGTTCTAAGAAAAGTTTTCAATATTTTCTTTGAATTTGTAATTTTTTTCTTCTGGATTAAAGTTTCGCCTTTTTGAAAATTTATATTTAATAGAAGTTTTCATCATTGTGTGTGTGTGTATCTGTGTGTGTGTGGGGGGGTTATTGTTTTGTATTTAGTTTTAGATTTCCTGCCTGCCCTTTTTTCATATCTTTATACAAATCTTTTCAACTTTAGTAGTATCTCCAACCTGACCTGTCTTACCTACAGTTCAGATGTAGGTCTTAAAAACAGTTTTTCAGGACTCCTTATGTATTACTTTTTTTTGCTCTGTAGCCCAGGCTGCATTTACAGGTTTGTTACGTAGGTAAACTTGTGTCATGGAGGTTTGTTGTACAGATTATTTTACCACCCGGGTATTAAACCTAGTACCTATTAGTTACTTTTCCTGATCCTCACCCTCTTCTCAGCCTTCACCCTCTGAAAGGCCCCAGTGTATGCTGTTCCCCTCTATGTGTCCATGTGATCTCATAATTTAGCTCCAACTTACAAGTAAGAACATGTGGTATTTGGTTTTCTGTTCCTGCATTAGTTTGATAAAGATAATTGTCTCCAGCTTCATCCATGTCCCTTGTTCATATTTATGGCTTCATTGTATTTCGTGGTGTATAGGTAACACATTTTCTTTATCCATTCTGTCATTATTCGGCATTTACATTTATTTTTTGTCTTTACTATT